TTTAAAGCCACACCTTCCCTTTAAGAGCTATGCAAACATATTCATAAGACAATAGATAGTTATAAAATGCTAATAACTAAGAAATTACCTTCAATTCCCTGCCCTTAAAAACACTTACACCAGGATTATATTCTTCTGGACCAACATGATGAAATTGTTTGGCTCCTTTATGCCTCTCCTCAGATGCTGTAAATGAAAGAAGACTCATTTCATCTATTTACAAATATCCAAAAAAAAAATGGACACAATCTGTTATGTATTTTGTTTCTTTTAAATAGACATGATCACAGCAGGACATACACTACAAATAAGATATCTCAAGACAATTATGAAGGCATTTATTCATAATATCTTGGTGACTTTATAATAAAAACTAAACTATTTACGTCAGTGCTAATTTTCGGTTCTGTTATAAAGTAGCAGATTAAAAAATACACTTAAAAACATTTAATATGGAATAACTTGTACACATACCCAATCTCTCTTATGAGGATTGAATAAGCAGCTAGGTTCATACATTCTGTTCTATTGGCTGTTGTGTGTGTTTTAGGAAAAGACATTCAGTCAGTCCATTTCTTCATAACTACATATAGATACTGAAACTAACCTGTGATGTTGCTCTGGCCACATAATTCAGTTGGGCAACCGACATCTGTAAGCAACATATAATGATCCCCTGTATAAGCGAAGAAAACATCCGAGTTTCCTAATCCTTGGCTACCAAATGGTACTTCGACTGTCATCCTCTGAAATATACAGTACAGTATTGTATTCATTATATGATTCAGATTTGTTTACTTACTGTTCATAATACTATTTTTTTTTACATAAAAAAAATGTTTGTACATACCCCTCTCCAATCAATTATTTTACAATTGATACAGAATATTGTTGCAGCTGCTCTAATAACAACGTGATTTGCCATCTGATCATGTAGGGCTATTATACATTCTTCCCATGTACTTGGACACACTGACAGACTCTGAAAATCAGCATCCGAGAAAAATTGCAGAAGATCTTGATGTTAACTGTGCCCTACGATACATAAAAAAATGTTCAAATTTTAAAGTAATTTTTTTTTCCGATTTAAGAAAAATACTTTATTTTTTAATAAGGCCTAAATGTAGGTTTTTGCTATTTGCACGTTTTGTTGTTTTTTTTGTGAAATTAAAACCTCCATTATCCCTTGAAATTATACCCAAATGCAAACAAATTAAGGTTTGTTTTAAATTTACCAGTCTATTACTGTAAAAATCATAAACTTGGACAGACTATTGACGTTTTACTCTATAGAAGAATATTAAAGTGAAAACCTAGTAACTCTTGTCTTGGCCTTTGTGTTATTTTCCCAAACACAATACGGGCACACAGTAGGGCACAAAACAAAACATTGCAGCAAACATGAAGGCGCTCATGGCTCTTTATTACTACCTTAGCAATGGACAGGGCCCTGGCTTATGATTTTTAAAAATCAATACAAATACTTTGCAATAAATATCAACCCAATACTGGTAATTAACTTTCAGTATAACTGAAATATATTGTTCTGTTTTTCACAACCTTCTAAGGATTATTTCACTTTTTCGCAGCAATGTGAACATGAAAAAAGTTTCAATCTGGGTTCAGCTACTAGCCAAAAACCATTAACATATTAATCCACGCTAACATTCTGGTGTATTTTTTATGTTCACACAAGAAATTAAATTTTACTATGATTTTCAATTGTTTTTGTATTTAGACATGATAAAATGTCATAAAAGTGTCAGATCAGTGTTATATACTTAATCTGTTTAACATATGGTCAAATTCAGACAATTTTAAAACTGGGGCATGTTCCACTTCCCCTGTTTTGCTATAAACTTTTAAAATTTTAAGGCATATATTGAAATTAGCAGTCTCACTTTTCTATGAATATATTGTTTATTTTATATTAACATCAGACCCTATGTATCAAAAATGAAAATTAGAAAAAAAAAAAAATACAAGCATTGTGAATACCTGCTTCCACCATAATAATATTATTAATACTGTGGGAATCTATTTTGTGGGAAATTAAATCTAGGCCTAGGCTAGTGCATGGCTAGTGCAACTATTGATAGCCCTCCAGCAAGAGCGATTTTGTCGGACTTTAAATATAAAAGAAGCCCTGAAACTGGCAACCAAAATGTATGAATTTAATTATAATTCATCGTATGAAAAAGTGACATTTGGGTCCAAAGTGATAGCCTCTAGCAAGAGTGATTTTGTCGGACTTATAAATATAAAAGATGCCCTGAAACTGGCAACCAAAATGTACGAATTTAATTATAATTCATCGTATGAAAAAGTGACATTTTGGTCCAAAATGATCTGCTCCAATTTTGCAGTAAAGGTAGGGCTTAATTGCACGCGCAATTATTATTTATAAACTCGAATTTTTAAGTTTTTAAGTGTCTCTGTTTTCGAAATTTCGAGAGACCTTGCTTTCGAAAACGCAGACGTAGACATTCGAAAACGGAGACCTTATAAGTGGGTCTCCGCAGAGAAATGCATTCCTATTAATCCTAATGTAGGCTAGGCTAGGCCCAACTAGGACTAAAGGCTAGTTACAATACAAGTGCATTAATTATTATCCAAGACCTTTAACATTCATTAGGAATAAGACGAATAATATTATCATATTCATATTGTCTTATATATTTTGCATAGGCCTATGCCTAATTACCATAAATTAATAGGCCCTAGGCCCAGGCTAGGGCCTATTATTAAAGAAAAAAAGATGCACGGACGTGACTTACATTTTCAATTGAATCCACATGTTGATTGAACACAAGATAATTGTTTATCAACTCGAAAACCTCTTCCTCTTGCAACGAAAAATGGGAAGCCAAACATTGATAAAAACATCGGTTTTGGTTCCCCGGCGGGTCTGTTTTTAGTGTAAGTCCCCTTTTTTTAGCTTGCAAGAGGCACAACACACGGTTTTCAAGAACAGACATCTTTTCAGGGTTACCAGCGGAGAAAAAACAAGAAAAAGCGCGCCGTCTTCTCCGATCTAGTTCAACTGCGTCATATCACACTATTTGCCTCATGGATAAAGTACGCGCGTCAGCTAATGAATAGAGGGCGCTAGCTTACATATTTGGTTATCAAATTGGTTATTGTTATAGACAGGTAGGCCACCTAGGTCTAGGCCTAGGCTTGGATTTTTGTTCTACTATTTCTCATCATTTAATTATTTTTAATAGTTATGTTTGTTGTAGCCTCGTAGATATGTTAAAATATATGGCTCGCACTTTTGGGGAATGCCAGGTAGCGCGTTAAATCATGCCTCGCACTTTTCGTGAATGGTAAATCGATGCCTCACATGAATCGTCATTATGCCTCGCTGCCTTGCATGCCTCGCACTTTAGTATTACCCGCCTAGAGCAAGAATACGTTGTTAACATGGCGGTAGCCAGCAGTTTACACGCATTTCCAGTTGTTTGTTGTTTAATAATCGGCCGAAAAAGATGAAATTTCTTTATGTGAACATTATAAATAATGTCAATGTTTCAAAATAATTAAAAACTTAACATTATGGGAACGGTTTGGAGCTTAAAAATAGGTGCGGCTTATACACAGGCGACACAAAAAATCGTGATATTCGCGTCCTAATTTGGGGGGCGGCTTATACACAGGTGCGGCTTATACACCGGAATAGGTAATGGAGGATGATGATGATAATAATGAGGGATGATGTTACGAGTGATACCTAACTGGGTCCAGTTTATTTTAATTTCTTTAATATAGTGTGCTATACCGTACTCGCACGAATAAACGCCCCGTTTGAATAAGCGCCCCTCTCGAATAACCGCCCCTCCTAACGTGAAAATTTCCTTAAGCGCCCCGTTTGAATAAGCGCCCCCTTCTAATTTGAATAAGCACCCCCTCATAAGATTTTCTTTTTAGCAAGTCAATAATCCAATCAATCCTGAGACTGTGGTTGTTGGCATGATTTGAGCTGTAGAGTGGAAAACTGACTGACTGGCTGGCTGACTGACTGGAAACACATTCTTCTTCAGTCAATATCAAAATAAGGATATTATATTTCTCTTGGACAGATGAGAGCTCCTATCCCTGGACAGATGAGAGCTCCGATCCCTGGACAGACAGTATATTTCCAACTTTAATCTTTTTACATATTTGTCTATGTCTAGTCTTACTCCTCTTTTTCTTTTTTCGAAATTAAGCACATTCTCATCTGAGTTTTCAAGAAAAATACAATGATCCTGCCATCCTGCTAATCTCAATCGGCCGATGGCCAACAAGCTAACCACTACCCACCACTAATTGCATCTGCTATTTTGCTGTTATGTAAATATTCACGCATTCTTGTTATGAGCCATGTTCTTTGGACGATTATCTTTTCTAACCACCATTCGTAATGTCCTTATATAATCTTGTTTTCATTCAAAAAGTGCCTCTTGAATTTTTAAAATAATTTCCCATAAGAACCCTCGATTTTCATCTATTTCGATAAGCGCCCCCTCAATTTCCACTCTGTTTTCATAAGCGCCCCGTTTAAATAAGCGCCCCGTTTGAATATGCGCCCCACAGAAAGTGCAAAAAATATTTTAAGTGCCCGGGCGCTTATTCGCGCGAGTACGGTAATTGGACATTACAGGATGGAAAACTACACCGTTTCTGATGTATATTTTTAAATATTCAGCATCGGAAAATACATGTAACTTTTGCAACGATAACTTTTGGGGAGTCTGTATTGATCTATATCTATCTGTACATATATGTATTATTAGGTATAAGTGTAATGGGATTAAATGACAGTGTACAATATAATCGTCCATCTTGAAATTAAAAATTGCGACGGATGACGTGGATAAAAAATGATACCTAACTTTTTTAAATTCAGCACACCAAAAATGATAAAGTTAGCCAAAAATATCCTTCATTTTGGTACAAAAATCTAGCTGGAGCCAAATTTCTGACGCAAACCATAACATTCAGGATCACCAAAGAGATACTTTTTTGTATCCATGTTCTTATACCACTCTCGTTATTTCCAGTTACTTAAAGGCAAGATTCATGGAACTATTGATATTGGTACTTCAGTGATCAACACAGAGAAAGAGGATGACAAGAAGGCCAGAAGAATTGACATTGATAATGAGGAATTCCTATATCATTTAAAGGTAAGTAAAACATACCTTCTTGAGCCAGGCCTGTACGCAGGGGAGATGGAGGTGCGATGGGTGCGTACGCACCCCCCAAATTGCCAAAGGTCCACATTTTCCATGGTAGAAAATTCAAGACACACTCTCAGACGTCATAGAAATCCATACACCGATTCCAACTAGGACTGCCTTTAATTTGTCATACAAGCAAGGACTTTTAACTCTCTTTATAAGCTTTTTAAGAAATTTTTGTGTTTCCCCGTCCCTTATGTGTCAATGACTCACCCACCGCGTACAAACTCATCATCTTGTTCTTATAGATTTCACTAAATTATCTTTATATATTCTCATTCTAGTCTGAGAGTGCCATTTCTCCGGCCATCTAGAGGTGCCATAATCATAATTCTTTCTTACCTCAGCCCCAGCCATAGTGTGGCAGATTTGTATTGTCCCCAGTGACACATTGAAAGGCGGCCAAGCTGGCCCAGGCATCTCCCCTAAATTTTTGAAAGGAAATGGAGAAACACAACATAATGTATAACCAAATTTAAGCCCTCGAGTGCCATTTCTGGCCATCTAGAAATGGTATAATAATAAATTTTCTTAAATTTATAGCCTCAACAATGTGGTAGGGCTGAGGTAGGTGCCATAGATCCTCTATTTCGAATTCTTGAACCTGCCACTGCCCCCATTACTCCCTGGCCCACCCCTATTTTAAATTTCTGGAACTGCCACTGATTACAAGTCGCAAATGTGCAAGTGCTTAACAGAGATTACAGTACGTACCTATGTACAACCAAGTATGACACAAGCATGCCTTGCAGCAAGCACTCGTGTTTAATATACAGTATAATGAATGCATATTTATTATGGCACAGAAATTGAAATCGGTAGAGTGGTGGACATATTCGCTTCAAAACAACAACAAAGGGATAAATTGGCATTGGTTTCCCTACCCTGTCGTAAATTTATATTAGGGAAGAAATACATTATTTTTGGAGATTTCAGGCGAGTGGAGGGCATAATAAAAAAATGGGATAATTTTTACTTTTCTAAAGGTGCGCTAACTGGACAAAAGTAACATTTTATTTTTGTTTGAAATCATCATTATTGGTGGTTGAAGGTTTGCTAAACAATGTATAAATATTCTCGCTGAAATTTTTGGGAATGTGATCTGCTTTCGTTTCAGACACACACCGAAACGCACTGTAACGGAAATAATGCGGTAATATTCCTAGGAGAAGATTCCCATAATAATGCAGTAACTTAGCCCTGT